CCTCCCAGTCTAAGTCTTGGAGAGCAGCTCTCAGCCTTGGAAAATTAGCTCTCTTGAAATTGAGTGTTTTTATTTTTCCTGTATGTGCTTGCTGTTTACAGCTAACAATGAATGAAATCATGTTATGGTCCCTGTTACCCCGATGTTCTTTTATATGGACATTCGTAATAAGCTCTGCATGGTTTCAGATTACCAGGTCCAGCAGAGCATCATTCCTGGTAGGGGCTTCTATGAACTGTACCATAAAATTGTACTGTAGTAGGTTTAACAATGTTTGCCCTTTAACTGTTCCTGCAGTACCATTACTCCAGTCAATTTCGGGTAGTTAAAATCCCCCATTATTATCACTGTCCCAGCCCTTGCAGCCCTTTCAATCTGTGCAAGGAGCTGAGTTTCCACCTCCTCATTAACACTGGGAGGCCTATAACAAACTCCAATGGTTACCTTTGTAGTAAGCACCGCCATGTGCAGTTCCACCCATAATACTTCAGCCTCATCACACTCTCCATCAACTAGGTCTTCTTTCACACTCGCTCTGAGATCACTTCTCACATAGAGACAGAGACCACTACCTTTCCTATTTACTCTGTCTCTCCGAGAACAGAGCCAGGAATATTAATGGCCCAGTCATGTGAAGAATGAAGCCAAGATTCAGCAATACCAGTTAAATCATAGTTTTCTTTATGCACCAAAGCTTAGAAACTCACCTATTTTGCTTGGCTAAACAAACAGAAACATACTTCATGAGGTGGCTTGATGGCCCGATGTCCTGTAGTGGGCCCTGTGCTCACTGTCCGTCACCATAGAGCTTGATTGGCATTTGCCATTGAACACCAGAATTGGCAGGTCCACCTGTCACGTATCTGACTGGAGACTGAGGTGATGAGAGGGCTCACCTTACGGCTAAGTGCAAAGCACCGTTAAAAGTAGTAACAGAAGGTGCAGTGTCCAAAGAAGCACAGGTTGCCAATGATCTAGTTGCCTGGTGATACCCTATGAAACGACACCTATGGGTAGAGAGGATACAGGAGCGGGCTCTGTAGAAGACTGGTGGATCTAGACAGATGGGTGGAGCAGGAAGCAAAGTCAGAAGCCAGAGCCGGGGGTCAAACACAGAGCATCAAACAGGAGTGGAGACAGGAACGTAGTCAGGAGCAGGCCAAGGTCATGCACAAGTCATCAATCAGGAATAGGCAGGAGCAGATCCAAGGAGCAAGCCGCGTTAAGAACCAGGAGAGAAGCCAAAGCAGGTCAGGGTCAAGCCGGGTCGGTAATAGATAATCAGCCAGGCAACTCACACAAGAACACAGGAACAGGAGGCTGACAATAATCCAGCAATTATTGTGAGGGGCTGCAGCCCTTATAAAGGCCACTGGGCACCAGGAACTAGCCGATACGCTGTCATGCACATGGATGCACAACTGTGTGCCGTGTGCCTATGCGCATGCGCACATTTTTGCACAAATTAGTGCAGCTATATTGTGCACTGGCGTATTTGCCAGGAGTTCTTTGTTTTCTTCCCTGACACCACCACTGGCACCCTGTGCTTTTCACAGATGAGAACAGGTTCACCCTGAGCACATGTGACAGACGTGAAAGGGTCTGGAAAAGCCATGAAGAATGTTATGCTGAACATTGTTCAGCATGACTTTTTTGGTGGTGGGTCAGTGATGGTCTGGGGAGGCATATCCATGGAGGGACACACAGATCTCTACAGGCTAGACAATGGCACTCTGACTGTCATTAGGGATGAAATCCTTGGACTCATTTTTAGACCTGCGCGCTGATGCAGTTGGGTCCTGGGTTCCTCCTGATGCATGACAATGCCTGGTCTCATGTGGTGAGCGTTTACAGGCAGTAATTCTTAATCAGATTATAGCTGCAACTTCTAAGAGGTAAAAACAGTGGTTTATAAGGCATTCTTGAGGAAAACATCAAAAGTAATGTCATTGAGATGTAGAACACAGTGGCAAATGGATATTGGTCTTATAAATAATGAGGAATGGACTGATGTTCTTGATAACTATTCTTGAGTCACAGAAACTTACCCAATTGTTTATTATAGATTGCTCATATTGAACTCCCCAAAACTTTTTTGTTGGCATAGAAGAGATACTCCTCTATGTCCATGATGTGAACATGAAGAGGGTATATTAATACATATGATGTGGAATTGCCCTAAATTGGTTAGGTATTGGGCCCTGGTTTTGGATTCGATTAATAAGGTATTTAGCATTAGTATCCCGAGGATCCCAAGGTATGTGTTTTGGGGGGTTGGATAAAGAATTGTTGGAAAAAGGATTGGAAAAGCATGTTTGCACGGCAAATATTTGCCTCTTATTTATAGCATGAAAACTTATTGCCCAGAGATGGATATCCAAGACCCCCCAACTCACTCCATGTGGGTCAATGCACTAAACGAAATTGTACAAAAAGAACATATGGTATACCAACACAAAGGGCAACCCAGGCAAATTTATAAAACTATGGGATAAATGGTTGAATACTACAGAGGTGGTTCCTCTACAATTAGTTAGAGAAAGGTTATTAGGTAAGGAATAATAAAACATTATATATTAGTAATATCTGAATAAAGCGTAAAATTTAATTTAGGTCAAAAGTGTCAAAAGGTTATAGGGGCAATGATGTTGGTCACATATAGAGATATCAATAGTATAATTAGAAGATTGAGGGAATGTTTGTACTTAGTGAGGTATTATATATGAATTTGTTTTTTTGGTTTGAGTGTATATATATATATATATATATATATGTATTGTATATATATATATATTGATTGATTGATTATAATGCACTAGGTGTGTATGGTAATTATTATGGAGACAATCAAAACTGTAACTATAATTGTGGTTGTAAAGTGTGTAATTGTGTTGTAAAAAAAAAAGAAAAGAAAAATAATGTCTAATAAAGAGTAAAGGAAAAAATTCAGAATGACTGTATCACATAAGAATCTTGGGAAATATAAAAAATAAACTTCAATGACTATAATGTAAAAAAAAAAGCAAGTGGGAGGGTCGCTGCAACACTTGTTTCCTTCCTTTTAATGGACCATCTGAGGTTAAACTGTCACCTTGTATTAGAGCAAAATCAGAACTAGATGCAGGATTTCTGATGGCTGTGTTAAAAAAATTAACAAACAACTGTTTACCTTTAATTTGAAAAACATGATTTATTTCTGAAAATAATAGGTACTTGTCTAGCTGGAACAGGTATGCAGATCAGGAGGGTCTAGGTAAAATAAGAAAGCCTTATCTGCATTAGAGTGTCAGCATGCCAGCCAGACACCTAGCATTTGCAGAATGAGAACCAGCAATTGCATTTTTCTTGATCCTTTCTGGAAAAGTTTACTTTTAGCATTACTGGGCAAAATGCCCACAAAACTAGCTGTTCCCAACAACGCTCAGCTATACTATCTGCAACAACTGCTGCCATGCAGAATAAATGGACTCTCACGGGTTAATGTTTAAAGCAAGTAATGTAGAGTTAGCACCTTGTTTTACCAAGCTTTGTGCATATATATTCCTTTGATAATGAAAAGCAGCGTACAAAGAGATTGCTTTGGCTTGGCATAGATGTGGTTAGGGATGGGGTAGGGCAGATTTGCATGCCCAGCACTTGTGAATACTCTGAACCAGCGTATTGAATTCTGGATCAATGACGGCCCACAAGTTGTTTTTCTGCTAATTCAACCACCTAAATACAAAGAGAAAGGAACATCTATTGAAAACAAACCCAAAGCAAGCCCCCTGTGGGTTTACTCAATACACAATGAAGGTAAAACAGAACAGAGAGAGAAGTCTGTCTCAGAATAGCAGAGGAATTTCAATAGTAATCGCTATTTTAACTGTGCTGCCGTTGGTGTGATGTTGAGTTATGTATTGGGACTGGTCTCCACAGGTTCTGAAGCAGGTATTGGGCTGAACAGCTAAAGTTCTTCAGACTACAGATAACATTATGGTTTATCACTGAGATCCAGTTCAGGTTCAGGGCTGTGTGCTGCTCTCATTGACAAATGTACAGTGTTCAATACTGTAATATATTTTGATTTATAATAAAGTTTTTCATCGAAGCAGCTGTGGATGATTAGCACTCATCGAGGTAATCAGGAGAAGCTAATGACATCACATAAAGGTAGTTTTTTGTAAAGGTGAACTAACTCTCTAAAAAAGTTTTGCTGTAACCTGACTGTTACTGACTGTAAACCTTTCTGTGCTGTCCTATAATGGTCAGCTGACAGCTAGCTAACAAAACTGACAGAAGCAGCATTGTGTTTCATTCCAAAACTGAATTTACTTCTGTGAATAGTTCTATAAAACTACAATACAATCACATAAACTGAAATTACAATATGCTTGTACATACACGATATTGGCAAAAGTATTGGGACGCCTGCCTTTACTTGCACATGAACTTCAATGGCATCCCAGTCTTAGTTTGTAGGGTTCAATATTGAGTTGGCCCCGCCCTTTTCAGCTATTAGAGCTTCAACTCTATATATAAATATTGTACTATAAATACTGTATAATAATAATAATAATAATAATAATAATAACTCTTCTGGGAAGGCTGTCCACAAGGTTTAGGAATGTATCTATGGGAATGTTTGACCATTCTTCCAGAAGAGCATTTGTGAGGTCAGGCACTGATGTCGGATGAGAAGGCCTAGCTTGCAGTCTCTGCTCTAACACATCCCAAAGGTGTTCTGTCGGGTTGAGGTCAGGACTCTGAGGTGCATGCCAGTCAAGTTCCTCCACCCAAAACTCGCTCATCCATGTCTTTATGGACTTTGTTTTGAGCACTGGTACACATTCATGTTGGAACAGGAAGGGGCCATCCCCAAACTGTTCCCACAAAGTTGGGAGCATGAAATTGTCCAAAATGTCTTGCTATGCTGATACCTAAAGAGTTCTCTTTACTGGAACTAATGGACCAAGCTCAACTCCTGAAAAACAACCCCATACCATAATCCCCCCTCCACCAAACTTTGTACTTGGCACAATGCAGTCAGGCAAGTACCTTTCTCCAAACCCAGACACGTCCATCAGGTTGCCAGACAGAGAAGCGTGATTCGTCACTCTAGAGAATATGTCTTCACTGCCCTAGAGTCCAGTGGTGACATGCTTTTCACCACAGCATCCGATGCTTTGCATTGCTCTTGGTGATGTACAACTTGGATGCAGCTTCTCGACCATGGAAACCTATGAAGCTCCCAACACACTGTTGTTGTGCTAACTGAAGGCCACACTAAGTTTGGAGCTCTTTAGCTATTGACTCTGAAGACAGTTGGGGACTTCTGCATACTGTGCGCTTCAGCATGCGCTGACCCCGCTCTGTCATTTTACGTTGCCTACCACTTCCTGACTGTGTTGCTGTTGTTCCCAGATGTTTCCACTTTGTTATAATACCACTAACAGTTGACCATGGAATATTTAGTAGCAAGGAAATTTCACAGATGGACTTATTGCACAGGTGGCAACCTATCACGGTACCATGCTTCAATTCACTGAGCTCCTGAGAGCAACTCATTCTTTCACAAATGTTTGTAGGATCATTCTGCATGCCTAGGTGCTTGATTTTATACACCTGTGGCCATGGAGGTGATTGGAACACCTGAATCCAATGATTTGGAAGGGTGTCACAATATTTTTGGCAATATAATATGTCTTTCACGAATGCATACAATGAACACATTTATTAGAAACAGCTACCTACAAATCACATTGAATACATTATAATGTGATCTAGCTACAGTATGTATGTGACTTTAACAAACAATGAACAATGAAAGAACTTACAGGCATATGTGTATCAAAGGAAGAATGGAGGAGACTTTCACTTGTGTTCTTCTAGAAGTTGAAAATGCTGCAGTGGTTTATGGGAAATCTTTATTCTTAACAAACATGAGACACTTCCTGTTCTTGTTGAAGGTAATAACAAAAACAGGTACAGTTGCAGTGAACACCCAATAGATAGCTCCCTACTCAACACAATGATGATATACAGAACGCTTTCATATTCACTAACCTGAAGTATGCTGATCAGGAGAGTCAGAAAAAATCAGAACTCCTGATCGGTATACTTAATCTAGGAAAGTGGCCCAGAAAGTACTAAAACTTTAGATCAACATGACAACCAAGAAACTAATATATTCAGGAGATGTCAGTAATCATAACCTTGATTTCTCCTTAGTACTGGTTCCTTGTACTGTAAGGCACCTTTTGTCACTACCCTTATTTATACTCACAAATTAATACTCCAGCAAACTGAAAGTGGCATTTAATTGCTAGCAGTGTAAATACCCAAAGCTGACTTGGTATCAGCCTCTTACAATCCGCTTTACATCATAGCTCAGACTAGTAGAGTGAGAATCTGCACAAAGAGCTAGTTAGCTGCACTGCATTGCTCATGGGTTAACAGGGAGGATGCTGGTAAAAGTAGAGAGCAGACTGACCAAGAAAGGAGCTCATCTGTCTGCTGATTCTCCATTCATTGTTCAGTTGCAGGCTAAGGTTGAGACAAGACTTGTAAATGTTGCACAACAACAGCAGATAACTAAATGCAAGGTGCAGGTAGCAATTTTTAGTTCAATGTAGAAAGTTCAGTAAAGGGTGATTTCTGGTTGTTTTGGTTCCACTGAAATGCACTGGGGAGACAATATCAAAATGAACAGGCTACATGTAAGCTCATCTTTGATCAGCTCACATCAACTGTATCCAGCCCTCACATTTATGGTTGACCTTTGCCTGACATTTCTTTATATGATGTACAGTATACTGCATATACACAGCAACCTTCTCTTTCTCCCCTTTCTAATTTGGGTACTTTGCATCACTGCCAATAGTCTAGTTAGAAAGATGTAGAGCTGTGTAAGCAGTCAAAGCAAAGGGCACTTATGATTTAAAAGCATTTCTATAGCTATAATGATAACACTTAGAGAACTCCTGAGTGTTTTGATAATTTGCTTACCACTTAAATGCATTTACTGTTTCTGTATTATAAAACTAAAATATTATAAACTAAAAAATATTTAATTATAAATGACCTCCTCCATGCATTGAAGAAGAGACAAATCAAAATGAACAGGCTGCATGTAAGCTGATCTTTCATCAACTCAAAGCAGCTGTATTCAACCCATCCCTGCATGCCAGGGTGCTAGGGGTAACCCTGGATTCTGAACTATCCTTTCAGGCCCACATCTAATCCCTGTCCAAATCATCCCAGAATACACCCCCTTTGATACCACAAAGCTCCTAATTCACTCCCTGGTTATCGACTACTACAACTCCCTCCTCATTGGCTTTACATAGGCTATCCCCCTCCAGCCCATCATGAATCCTGCTGCCAGGCTCATCCATCTTACCAACCATTCAGTATCTGCTACCCCTCTCTACCAATCCCTCCACTGGCTTCCACTTGCCCAACAAATAAAATTAAAAATACTGACAACAACTTACAAAGCCAGCCACAACTCTGCCCCCAGCTACATCACCAACTTGGTCTCAAAATATCAACCAAACAGCTCTCTTCGATCCTCCAAAGACCTCCTGCTCTCTAGTTCCTGTGTTGGCTCCTCCTATGCTCGCCTTCAGGACTTCTCCCGAGCTTCTCCCATTCTATGAAACTCCCTACCCCAATCTGTCCAGCTAGCTCCTAATTTTATCCACTTTTAGACGATCCCTGAAAACCTTTCTCTTTAAAGAAGCCTATCATGCTTCTACCTAGTAAACTGCCATTTATTTCCTCCATCAGCTCATCCCCCACAGCTATTACCTTTTGTATTAATCAACCCTTCCTCCTTGATTGTAAGCTCTAACGAGCAGGGGCCCTCTGTTTCCTCTTGTACCAAATTGTATTGTAACTGTAATATGTACCTTCATTTTGTAAAGCGCTGCACAAACTGTTGGCGATATATAAATCCTGTATAATAATAATAATAATAAATTCATCTCTAACACTATTGGTAGACCTATACCTAACTTTATATACAGTTTATAAAGCAACCTTCTCATTCTCTGTTTTCTAATCATGCTGCTTTGTGTCATTGGCTCATTACTAACAGTCAAGTTAGAAAGATATCAGCCCAGTGATTGACAAATGTGTAGAGCTGTGTAAGCAGTGCAAACAAGGGGCACTAATGAGTGAAAAGCATTTCTATCACTATAATGATAACCCTTAGGAAACTCCTGAGTGTTTTGATATTTTGCTTCAACACCACTTTAATGCTTTTACCGTTTCTGTATGGTACGGTCCAGTATTTAATTATAATTGACCTCCTCAATGACATGTGTATGGCACTTCCTGCCAATTATTTTGCTGTTTGCTATATGTTTAACAGAAAAGTCACTCTAAAATGTAGTGGTGGAGATTTTGAGTTATATTTAAATCAAGTATTTTTTTTTTCATTAGCTACTTCAAGAAACATGGTCAGCCTCAAATTTAATACATGCGTTCAATGCTTGCTCAGGTGACCGCATAGCCATGCAAAGATTAAATCTATTTTTAAATATTGTCTGAACATGGCAGGAAGGTTGAAACATGATGTCTGATACATCTTATACTTGTTTTCTGCCAGAAGGTCTTCTAGTTCCAGTCCTCTGCTGTCATAGTCCTAGCACTTGGAGAATATGTTCTTAAAGGGTAAGGTCACCTTTTCAGACACAATTTTACTTTTCATGATAAATAGAAGCCTTTTCTAAAGTATTTTCTGCCCAAGCCATCCCAATGTGCTTATCTCTCACTTACCTAGTCCATGGCAGCTTTGAAGGTACACCTCTTGGCCCCAAAATAAAAAATATTGTTTTTTAAAACCATTGCTTCCTGTATCATCATGTTACAGTGCTGGAAAATTCATATCCCATCATGCACTGCCCAGGGATGGATCAAAGGGGGGTGCTGCGGTGGGCTGTGCCCCCCCCTCAGATTTTACTTGTGCCCTCCAGGGTGTATTTACCACAAGGCAAACAAAGCATTGCCTAGGGTGACATTTTTCAGGGGGGCAGCACTTCCCCAGGAAAAAGGGACATATACGGCATGGGAACCAGGTGGGATCCAAAAGAGGCTGTGAGCTGTTTGATGGTGTATGCAGAGCCCAACTCATCCTCGGGGATGTCTGGAGCTAAGAAGGTGAGTGTCTTTCTCTCTGTTGCTGGGGAGTGTGTGTTAGTGGAAGGTTCTCTCGGGGGGTGGGGGCAGGGGTGTTGTTGGTCACTGTCAGGCTCTCTCCAGTGGGGGTAGGGGGGTCTGGTGTTGGTTGGTGTCAGGCTGTATCCGCTGGGGGGGGGGGGCGTCTGATTTTTGTGCTGCCTAGGGCAGCAAAAAACCTAAATACACCACTGGCCCCCCCAAGTGCATCCACTGATCCATGAGCCAGTTTGATGAGGAAGGTTGATGTAAGGGGGCACTCTGATGGGGGCAATCCATGTAAGGCGGCACTCTGATGTGGGGCACCTTAAGTAGGGAGGCACACTGATGGGGGCACCTGATGTAAGGGGGAACTCTGATGCAGACAGCTGATGTAAGGGGGCACTCTCATAGTGATAATTGATCATATGTAGGGGGACACTCTTATGAGGACAATTGACACAAGATGGGGCTCTATTAGGGACACTGATGTAAGGGGGCACTCTGATAGGGGACACCTGATTTAAGGAGGCACTCTGATAGTGACACCTGATGTAAGGGGGCACTCTGATAGCAATAACTGATCATATGCAAGGGGACACTCTTATGAAGACAATTGATACAAGGTGGGACCCTAAAATGACACTGATGTAAGGGGAAACTCTGATGGGGGACACCTGATGTAAGGATGCATTCTTATGGGGGACACCTGATATAAGGAGGCACTCTGATAGTGACACCTGATGTAAGGGGGCACTCTGATAGCAATAACTGATGATATGCAAGGGGACACTCTTATGAAGACAATTGATACAAGGTGGGACCCTAATAGGGACACTGATGTAAGGGGAAACTCTGATGGGGGACACCTGATGTAAGGAGGCATTCTTATTGGGGCACTTGATGTAAGGAGGCACTCTGATAGTGACACCTGATGTAAGGGGCCACTCTGATAGTGATAACTGATCATATGTAAGGGGACACGCTTATGAGGGCAATTGATACAAGGAGGGGCTCTATTAAAGACACTGATGTAAGGGGCATTCTGATGGGAACACCTGATGTAAGGAGGCACTCTGATGGTGACACCTAATGTATGGGGGCACTCTGATGGGGACACTGATGTAAAGAGGCACTCTGATAGGGACATTTGATGTAAAGGAGGACTCTGATAGGACATCTGATATAAGGGGGCACAGGTCTTGTTTAATCACACCATAATCTAATGACAATCTAATACATAATAATGTTTCCCAGGCCATGACACTGTGTGACAGACTGCCAGTGACTCACACACATAGTGTTGACATGCCCCCCCCCCCAGATCAGATAGGCTAGATCTGGCCCTGGCACTGTCTCACTGCATTACAGAATAGGGTGTGTTTACCACTCTGGGCCACACTTCCCTCGTCACTATACCATCTCTTTTTTATTTCCATCCACTCTCCTACTTC